GAAATTCAGCATGAAAGGAATATTGGGAGAGAGAGTTGATGCCCAACTATGCAGTTTATTATGGCAGTCCCTTGCTCTTGATTTAATCCTCATGTTTAGACCTTTCAAAACCATTTTTTTCCAGCGTGGAAATAAGCTCAGTCTCTCTATACGAATGACATCTCTCGCTTTTACTTCATTGTAAGTGAGATATTAAATATCAAGAAGTCAGAAATGTCCACGGAAAAATTTCTGGGGAAAATCCATGGACTCATGGCTGAATTCAATAAACTCATGCCTATTTGGAGGATCACCTGAAAAGAAACTTACCCCACGCAACAAGTTCTTTTTCATTCTTACACTTGCCAAGCTTGAACCAGAATTTGAGCAAGTCAAAATAGTATAATCGGTGATGGAGTTGTTCCAAGCACCAAGGAAATATTCAAAAGACTTTTTAAAGTCTCATCTATTTATAAAGAAAATACATCATCATCAACCCTTATTGATCATTATGCTCTTACTACTCAAAGTCATCATGGTCACAATAGAGGAAGAGGTGGAGGACAAAATTCTACTCGTTTTTGTGATTTGTGTAACAAACAATGGCACACTCACGAATTGAAGCTTGCTGGAAACTTCATGGAAAACCAACTATGGTTAACATAGTTCAATATGGGGATTGAAATACTGAGGACTCAAATACAAAAGCTGTCTCAAAGGCTGTATGCAGAATTCTTGGAATTAAAGGCTGCCAAGACAATCATTTCTCCGGACATCTCTTATATTGCTCTTGCTTCACAATCAAACTCAGTTTGGGTCTTAGACTTTGGAGTCACTGTATCTGGTAATCCCTCCATTTTCTCCCAAATTGATTTCTCAGATTCTCTCCCATCTAATACCTTTGGTGATAGATCAAAGGGAAAAGCTAAAGGAATTGGAAAAGTCACTATCCATTCCTTCTCTTTAGACCATGTTCTTTACATTCCGGTTGCCCTTTCAACTTGATTTCAATCCATCGGCTTACTCATTCTCGTAATTACTTGGTTACCTTTTCTTCTGATTTTGTGGTTATTCAAGACCTACAGACGAGGGAGACGATTGGTACGGGGCATGAATCACGATGACTCTACCATATTCTATGTTCCACCAATACCAACACAGCTTCCATGGCTACTCTTTCACCCCTCCTCAACCATTGTCGTTTAGGGCACCCAAACATCAATAAATTAAGACAACTTGTTCCTAGTTTGTCTAATTTAAAAGAAATAGAATGTGAGTCATGTCAACTTGGGAAGAACTCGAGGTCCTCATATCCTAGTAGAGTGAATAAGAGGGCTAATACACCATTTTCTTTAGTTCACTCCGATGTCTGGGGACCATGTTGTGTTCCAACCACCTTGGGGTTCTTATATTTTGTTGTCTTCATTGATGATTTTTCTCGGTTTAGTTGGGTCTTCCAATGAAAAATTGTTTAGAACTTTTTGATGTGTTCCAAAAATTCTATAATTAAATCAAAAATCAATTTGGAGTTTCTCTCAAAGTCCTACGCAGTGATAATGCCAGAGAATATTTTTCAGACTCTTTCAGTTCTTTCTTTTCCTCACATGGAATACTTCATGAATCTTCATGTGCTAGAACCCCTCAACAAAATGGTGTTGCTGAACGGAAATTTTGTCATCTTGTTGACACAACCCGCACTTTGCTCATTCACCATAATGTTCCTAAGAAGTTTTTGGGGGGACGCTATACTTCATTCTTGTTATCTCATAAATCGAATACCTTCTTCTGTCTTGCAAGGGAAAATTCTTGTTAATCTTTTACTCCCACAGGAACCTCTCTACAAGCTTCCATTACGGGTTTTTTGGTGTACCTGCTTCCTCCATGATTCCTCACCAGGACGAGACAAACTTGATGCCAAGGTAATAAAATGTGTGTTCATTGGGTACTTTCGCCTCCAGAAAGGCTTTAGGTGTTATTGTCTTTAAACACACTATTTCTATACCTCCTTTGATGTCACATTTTTGGAAACTACCCCCTTTTTCCTTTCCACTCTAGTTGAAGAATCTAACTTCTTAGGAAAACCACTTGAAGCCATAGAAATTCTCCATGTCCCTACTTTCACAGAGCTTGTGTCTCCCAATGTTCTTGAAACAACTACACTAGCGTTGTCCACTTACACGGTCCAAAATACCACAACAAGCTCTCCCATTGCCAGTTGAGTAGGTAAGAGATCCACTTGAAATCCTTATCCTATTTATAACTTCTTTACACAAAAACGATTGTCTTCGTCATGTTGTGCTTTCATTACCAGTTTATCTACTGTGTCTATTCCAAAAAGTGTCAAAGAAGCATTAACTCATCCAGGATGGAAGCAAGCAATGATTGATGAAATGGAAGCACTACACTCATCTGGAACTTAGGAGTTAGTTCCTTTGCCTCCTGGAAAAATTGTGGTTGGTTGTAGATGAGTGTATAATGTGAAGGTTGGCCCAAATGGACAAGTTGATAGGCTTAAAACCCGACTAGTGGCTAAAGGGTACACACATGTTTTTGGCATTAACTACACAGACACCTTTTCACCGGTTGCTAAGATTACATCCATTCGTCTCTTCCTCTCAATGGTAGCCAATCGTCACTAGCGGGACCTTGTATCAGTTGGATATAAAAAATGCCTTCTTACACGGGGACTTGAAAGAAAAAGTATATATGGAGCAGCCCCTTGCTTTGTGGCTAGGACTGGAACTAAATTTTTTTGTCGCCTCAAACGCTTTCTCTAAACCTGGCAAATATCGACACGACCCGTTAACACGACATGAAACCGGACACGAAAATAACGGGTTAGTGTTTAGCCTTAACGTGTCCCGGGTCGTTAACGGGTTGACCCGTTAAGGACCCGTTATGTTTCGTGTCTTAACGGGTCAACCCGTTAAACCTATTAAGAACCCGTTTAACCCGTTAATATTATCGTGTTAACCCATTAACACGAACCCGTTTACCCAACCTGTTTATAACCCGCTAAGAACCATCGTCATGAATGAGATTACAAAAGATATTATGAACATGACTAAAGATGAATTTACTACATTAGGCCAAAATCCTACACACCAATTATTGATGTTCAATAATTTGAAATATGAATTTTTATTGTGTTCAATTTTATTCTAAAAATTAGTATGGACTCCTTTAATTATGATTTTTGGATGTTATTTTATCATTTTATGAATGTTATGAATTGAATATTTTTAAATTTCTTTAATAGATTGAACTGTAGGTTTTATTTCTCTTTTATAGAACTTAACTTTAAATTTTAGTTTTTTAAAGATATTAATAGAAATAGCGGGTTTAAAAGGGTTTCGTGTCATATCGTGTCGACACGACTTGAAACCTGTTAACAAAACGTGTCTATCGTGTCAACCCGTTTAACCCGTTAACAAATCGTGTTCGTGTTCGTGTTAAAAATTTGAACCCGTTAATCATAATGTGTCGTGTCCGTGTTTAGCCTTATCGTGTTCGTGTCGTTATCATGTCGACCTGTTAACAGACCCGTATACACGAATTGTCAGGTCTAGCTTTCTCTATAGACTGAAGCAATCTCCACGTGCATGGTTTGGACGATTTAGTGATGTGATCGAACAATTTGGCATGATTCAAAGCAAAGCTGATCACTTTGTCTTTTATAGACATCTATTTGGAAAAAAGCATATATTTAGTGGTTTATGTTGATGACATTGTGATCACAGGGATGATATGGAAGGAATAAACGAACTGAAGAAACATCTGTTTCAACATTTTAAGACAAAAGATCTTGGAAAATTAAAGTATTTCCTTGCTTTTGAAGTTGCTCAATCCAAACAAGGTATCTACATGTCATAACGGAAATATGCTTTGCATATTCTTGAAGAAACAAGTATGACAAATAGCAAGTCAGTTAAAACACCCATGGATCCGAATGTCAAACTTCTTCCAGGACAGGGGGAGCCTCAATCCGATCCAAGCAGATATTGAAGATTTGTTGGCAAGCTATTATATTTGACTATCACTCGTCCGGATATTTCCTTTGTTGTGAGTGTTGTTAGTTAGTTTCTACAAGAGCCATTTCAAAGTCATTGGGATGCAGCTATCAAAATTTTAAGATATTTGAAAAGATCTCCAGGTACAGGTTTACTCTACAGTGATCACGGGCATACAGAAATTGTTGGTTACACGGATGCAGATTGGGCAGGATGTCATTGGGATAGGAGATCAACATATGTATACTGTATTATGTTTGAAGGTAATCTGATTTCCTGGAAAAGCAAGAAACAAGATGTGGTTGCACGATCAAGCGCAGAAGCATAATACAGAGCAATGACACTAGGAAATTATGAACAAATTTGGGTGAAGAAACTCCTCACAGAACTCAATTTTTGCAATTTCAATCCTATGAAATTAATTTGTAATAATCAGGCAACTTTACACATTACATCCAATCCTATCTATCATGATTCATGATAGGACCAAACATATTGAGGTTGATTGCCACTTTATACGAGAGAAGGTTGCATCTGGAGACACTGTCATCACATTTGTTGGGTCAAATGATCAACTTGTTGATATCCTCACTAAATCTCTTTGTGGACCTAGGATTGATTTCATTTGTAGCAAGCTAGGAGCATTTGATTTGTATGGTCCAGGAGGAGGAGTGTTGGAAATATCTTCTAGAGCAGCCTCTCCTTAGCCTCATTAAGGCAGTATCTCCCTAAGGAGAGGAGTAGTTGTCTTGGATAGATTGTTCCATTTATTATGTCTCTTTCATTTATTGTGTCTCTTCCCTATGCTCTTTCTTTAGCCTATATATTGTGTTATAATATGATGTTCCATGTAAGAATGTAAGAAATAGAAAATATTTTCAATTCCTCAAGTCTTTCAACATGTATTAATAGAGGGAAAATTACTAAGCTACCGTTACAAATGACTCAATAAAGTAAACTCATCAAAGTCGATGACCCAATTAAACACAAACAAAAAGACGTTTATGACTAATGACTAAATTGGGTATTAACTCTCACGGGATATAATGTTTCTCCAGCCCAATTCTATAAATAAAATGGACATGAAATGTTTCTTTTCAAACAATAAGTGGCAAACTTGCAACTAAATTGATTAATTGTTTTCATTAATACCGGGAACTCTAACTTGAGATAAACACAATATAAAGAGCAATTGTCATGGTAGCCCTAATAATATCCATAAGTATTTCTAGATCTTGGTAGAGTGTTGATGAATTGAATCACAGCATTGGCAGTGTTTGAACCTGCTAGAGGTCCAAAGAAATCAATTGTATTGTTTCCTGTTTGTGCTCCAGCTAGATCTTGGCAGAGTGTTGATGAATTGAATCACAGCATTGGCAGTGTTTGTAGCTGCTAGAGGTCCAAACAAATCAATTGTGTTGTTGCCTGTTTGTGCTCCAGCTAGGTCTGATAATCCACGAATGGCAATTACTGGGAATCCATTGGACAAGCTTGTCTTCAAGAGGGAAAAAAAAGTTGTGTTAACATTATATACTCCGTATATGAAGATTATGGTAACATGCATGGTATTTAGACAAGAAATTAAAGCGATAAGAGTTAAATACATGTCCGAACTTTATATGAGAAATCAATTAATCTCTCTAACTTTTAAAAGTTACAATTAAAAACATCAACACGTCATTTTAGCGCATCAAACCCCAAAAACCAGTTAGTGACCTGTGATAGCAGGTCGTTAGGGTTCGGGTGATGTTCCGGCTACCGGCTACCTTCAGGACAACTGACGAATGGTCCCCGGTCTGGGGACTAGTGATAGTCTTTTCCACTGGAGACGACGACCAGCAACCGTTCATTGGTCATCGGTAGTCGATTTTTTTCCACTGAGGTAGCCATATCATCGTCAAAATCCAAACGACCTGCTAAAACTGGTCACTAACCGATTTTTGAGTTTCGATGCACTAAAATAACATATTGATATGCTTAATTGCAACTTTTAGAAGTTGACTTCTGGTATAAAGTTTAGGGATGTTTTGACCCTTTTTTTTTTTTTTTCGGAATTAAATAATATGAATTAAGAAGTAGCAAAGAGGAGCTTACCATCACAACAGCTTCACTTTCCATGTCAAGTGAGGTAACCTCAAAGGACTGGAAGAGGAACTCTCTGTATGCTGCATTGTCAAGGAAAAGGTTGGCAGTTGAACCCTTGAGACCTACAACTAGTTTAGGCTTTTGTGGGAGGCACAAGCTTGAATTTAGACATTGCTCCAATTCCATCCCCTACAACATTATTGAAAAAAGAAATGTTAAAATCCATGCATGAATGAGATTACATTATCTATATTATAAGTCTCACTGAAACAGTTTTATACAAGACTCACTCAATACATAATACTATAGATGAGGTATTTGGTTGGGAATCATGCACGGACCGACTTGAATAATGGTGACTGAATTATGGATTGTGAATTTGTGATTGTTGGTGGGGATATATATTAACCTAGATGCAATAGTATGATCCAAACAAATTATGAAAAAAAAAAAAAAAAAAACCTGATAAACATGAACAAAAGCTAAAGAAACAAAAAATATCACTATAGAATATAAAAATAATATGTATCATCCTCATTTCACTACTCAACTTGTGCTAACTAAGTTTTCAAAATTGATATCCCATAACTAAAAAATAATCAAGTTAAACTATTAACTTTTTTTTTTTTGAAGCACAAACTATTAACTTATTGACCACAAAGTTATAAGTTTGACTCCTAGTGGGAGCAACTTATTAGCCTTCTTGGTTTGACTGATTTAACTTTTTGTGGCTCTTTGTCGACTAGAGTCAAAAGACCGGATTTACCCAATACATACACACTCTCTTATAATAGTTGTGTGTTCCTCTCATCCATATTCAAAATTGTTGTAAATGAAAATGTTCTTACCTCCAAGCTAGAAGCTAAGTTAAGCCAGTCCTTGGTTACATTAAACCAGAAAACTCTGTCAGGATCAGTTGGGTCTCCTGAAGTTGAATAGAATTGCTCAGTGCTATATCCAAGGTGCCCTAACTCATTGTCTCCCCCTTTTGGTACATTATAGTTCTTGAAGTCCATTTGAGTAACATCATTGGTTGGAACTGTCCCATTGGGTTTCTGTCCACATAACAAATACAAAATTCATGCAAAGTCCATCACGAACAAAAAAAAAAAGTGCAATACAATTATATTTGGTGCTTGAAATAGGTTGATGTTAGAAATATAAGAAATTTTAAGGTGTTGATTGACATCGGCAAATTATTCCGTGGATCCAGGTTCACCTTGCAAGGTGGAATCCGGTTTAAATGTTCACGATTTATATACTAATAAATGTTCAAAATATGTATATTACGAACACACAATGTTAACATATATGTAATTGATTACCTTGTTTTGTATTCACAAGTTACTTTTAAATATTACAATCACATAATATTAACAGATTAGGATTTGATGACCATGTATTGTATTCACAAATTCCCTTCTACGATTGTTATGTGTTTTGACTTAGAAACACAATTTATATTCTAGAAGTTCACATCTAATATTAAAAATACACAATTTATACGTCATTTAGGACCGTAAGGTAGACTCTGGTCCATGGTATAACGTAACAACTCATTGACATCAATGTCGATTGTATACTTAATATAGTCATGTATTGTATTATTTTACTTAATAATATTGGTAATAATTTTTAGTGATACTCAGGACAAAAATGTATTATATTTGAATTATTAGAAACTATTACCAATAATACCCAATACAATATATGATTGATTCAATACAATATATGATTGATTCACGTAGTAACGGAGTTAGAAATTTTTGTCATAGATTCGAAAAGCAATGAATGTCATTATTAATCAAAATAATTAGAATACAATATAACAAATAATAATGAATAATCTAGCATCATATTTTATTTTATTTTTTCTGGCAACCTAAATAAAAAATATGTAATGGAAATATCTGTTAGATATTTGTTACTAACAGATATGTGATGTAAATTAATTATGTAATATATTTTCTAATAAATAATTTTTGAGTTTAGAATCAAGAAATTTATATTTGAAAACTAAATAAGTATTAAAAAAATATAAAATCTCTAATAAACTAATTAACTCCCAACCTTTAATATTGACCTTTAAATAAGTATATACGCTATATATGCCAAACACCTTGTGCACAGATGACATGTAGTGACCTTTCCCATATGGGATGTCGAGATCAGTATTTACAAATTGGATCTCCAAAAATTTAACATTATCATACCAATATTACTTTGCATCAATATTGTAGAGTACCAATCATCACTTCAAAGAACATCTCGGTAATTAAATTATGAAAAAATTTCATGAACCTAAATTTACTTCCAAAATTACAACAAAATTGAATTAAATCCTAGGGATGACTATAAAATCCATATAAATAGAAATAAATAGCATAACTTAAAGAAAACAAATTGAAACATGTAATTTAAAAGAAAATTAAAGATATACAAAAAAAAAAAAAAAATAAAATAGGAGAAGGGTGAGGGTAGTAGGAAGGGTGGAAGTTAGCCAACTCCGGATCGGACCCCCCTCTCTCTTCCCCACTAGTATAGTGTACAATTACGCCATATAACTATGAGTGACTGTATTGTGACATCATTTTATGAATTATTATTCGTGAGATGGGTTGGGTCAATATTAAAATATAATACTTATACTGAAAAATGTAATATTTGTTACTCATAAGGGAAAATGTAATACTTTTGAGGAAAAAATTAAATGTAATATTTTTAAATCAAAATAAGGTATTACATTTCTTCAAAAGTATTACACTCTTTCTTATAAGTAATAAGCAGTTTATCCTGATTAACATTTTTCAGTATAAGTATTACATTTTTTTATCTTGATCCAACCCGTCTTATTGACAAGGATTTGTGATATGGCCTTACGCACATTTTTACATATAACTATATAAGTTGTTGATATAGTTATAAGATATAGTTATAATGCCATAAAAATGCTATTAATGTGAAAGATTACCATCCAATCCCATAGACCAGTGTTGGCAAATTGTTTGGGTATCACAACATCTCCAATGGACATGGAACTGTTGGCATTTCCAGCTATGCCAAAATGAATGATTCCACTCAACTGAAAGTAATCCAACATTAGTTGTGTGGTAGCCGCTGCGTTCACCTAAAAATGAGAAATATATAAGAAACGGGGTTTTAAAAACCACAAAAATCATGTCAATAATCTTGTGATCAAGTAGTATCAAGTGATTCAAATGAGAGGTTATGTGTACTGAAGCGTGGTATATATGACCATATACTACAAGATGATTTGATTTTACTCTATGTTTTTTTTTTTTTTCTTTTGAACTCTTGAAATACATACCAGCCCAACACCGCATCTCACGTAGATAACTTTCTTTCCCATCACTGTTCCAATTCTAAAACGTCTACCTACAAAATCAAATCAAAGTGTTGGTTTTGATCTGATTGAGATATCAGTCACAATACGGAATTTACTTAATATACAAAATGTTAAATAAGTCTTCAAATTTTATACGAAAAAACAATTAAGTGCTGGAGCTTTAAAAAAAATTGTAATTAAACACTTCAACTTATTATTATTATTATTATTGGAAGAAAACACTTCAACTTATTAAGATTGTTCATCTAAGTCTGACATGTTTACTTATAACCTATTGATTACCAATAAAATTATAAATGATAATCACTATTGACTATCGCCATTGACCGTTGTTGATAATCACCCGTCACCAAAGAAGGCTACCAACTGGTCGCCGTCATTCATGCACCGAATCAGTTATTATAGGTTATCAACAAAGGCGATTGGTGGCCAGTGACGGCCAAAACTCTAATGACTAGTTATTATAGGTCAATAACGGGCTATTGTGTTTAGATACACAAAAAATGATAGATTGAAGTGTTTAATTATAATTTTTTTATCATAAATCTAATTATTTGTATAAGAATTATTTGTATAAAGTTGAAAGACTTATTTGACATTTTTTAAAATTATATTGTGATGTTAGTCCAGCTTCTTAAAATGTAGAATTATAACATTGCACAATGCTCGATATCAAATCTCTAATTATAAAATGCAAGATACATCATATAAAAAAAATTATTCGATAGATGACAAGTATAGAAACGACAAAAAGATATGTCATGTTTGATAAATGACTGTTAGCTCATAGCTGTTAGTTGTTAGCAGATTGAGTTAATTAGATAGTATAACTAGTTGATAATATTAGCATATTGTAGAAAAGGTGTTTGGTAAATTAGCTGTAGCTTATAGCTATTTGGTATATTATCTTTTATAAAAAAAATTAATTGAAAAAGTTGTTTTGAGTAGCTTTTTGAGTTTTAGTACAAAAAGCTAATTAACCAAATACTTATATTGATTTTTAAACCAAGTCAAACAACTAATAGTGGTCAAATAAGTCAAAATTGACCTATAGGCTAACTATTTTACCAAACAGGGCATAAGGCCCTGTTTGGTAAATGGCTATTAGCTAATGGCTATTAGCTAATAGCTGTTAGCTGTTAGCTGATTGGGGTTAATTAGGTGGTATAACGAGTTGATAACATTAGCATATTGTAGAATGTGTTTGGTAAATTAGCTGTTAGTTGGTAGTTGTTTGGTATAATTTCTTTTCTCAAAAAGCTTATTGAAAACGTTGTTTTGAGCAGTTTTTTGAATTTTAAAATTTTAGAGTTACAAAAAGTTAAATAATCAAACAATTATATTAATTTTTAATCAAGTCAAACAATTAATAGTGGTCAAATAAGTCAAAATTGACTGATAAGTTAACTATTTTACCAAACAAGGTCTAAGTTAGTCATTTGGTAATGCGCAGTTGAAAAGTGAACCTTTTATAGTGGTCCTGTTTAGTAACATTTTTTTTTGTTTTTTTTTTTTTGAATGTTACTGGCCCTATTACATTGTAGTATCTGTTCATATACTTTCTCAACCTACTGAAACACAAAGAACCAAACCAATAACGCCTCCACTGAGGCTTGAACTCGTAACCTTTCAAATGGAAGTCCAACCAGGGTACCATTAGACCACATAGTCTTGGTGGTCCTGTTTAGTAACATAGTTAGCTTATTAATTAAATTTGGTTTATTTGATCACTATTAATTGTTTGACTTGGTTAAACAACCAATATGAGTGTTTGATTAATTAGTTTTTTTGTAATAACTTATTGTTCCAAAACGATAAAATTAAAAAAATTACTCAAAACAGTTTTTTCGAACAACTTTTTGATAAAGTTATTTTGCATATAATTAGCTATCAGCTAACATTTAATTTACTTATAAACACATTTCTACAATCAACTAATGTTATCAACTAGTTAAACTCAGTAACCCAATCAGCTAACAATTATTTACCAAACACCCCCAATATATGACAAACATTTTTTTTTTTCAAAAAACACACACAAAACAAAAACAAAATTTGATGAAGATAATAGTTTTTTCACCAACTTTCGTTTTCCTTTTAGAAAGCTAGAACACATAGTCACACAACATGAAATACATAGAATATTAGAATCAGTAAGAAAAAAACTGCAAAAAACGGTATTATCAACATTAGAACACTCAAAAAGTCAAAATGGTGTAGCCAGAAATATTTCTAAAGGGTATTATGAAAATTTTCACTAGACATATGACCAAAATGATTACATTTATTTTTAAAAAACAAATTGAAACAAAAAAAATTTACTCCTTCCCATTTTGCATGTCCAGTTTACTATTCTCTGATTGTTACTTTGCTTATTTTCTTTAATGTTTTTTAATTATTTTTAAATTCAATTTTTTATCTAATAGTATTTTGAATGTAGTTTTTAAATATATAAATTTAATATACTAATATTAACTTAATATTATGAAAAATTGAATTTAAAATAACTTCAGTCAAACCTCATTAACCAAATCAGATACACTAAATGGGAAGGTAAGAATATAACTTATTTAATAAATCAATCAAAAAATGTCATGTCAGTAATAAATAAAAGAGTTAATAACAGTTGAGGTCCTCCGAGCATAGTGATATCGTCATATTTAGTCATAAATTTTCAATTTAACCATATGTGGTCTTTCAACTTTCAAGTTACATTACTCATGGTCTTTCAACTTTCAAGTTAACCACTCATGATCTATCAACTTTCAAATTTTTAATTACTTGAACTAACAGAAGGACCAAGACTGGTTAAATTTGAAAGTTAAAGGACCTGGTGGTTAAATGTTTAGAACTAAACGTGGTGGTGCTACTATACTCAGAGAATTCCAGTTGGTATTAACTCTAAATAAAAATAAAAATAAAAATAATATTACATTATTACTCTATTTATCCCTATCTTTTCATGGAGATTAGGTGTGACTAAAAAAAGTAGGTGGAGCCAAAGTAAAAGAAAGAATTTAAGTGAACATACAACTAACCTGATAAATCTACAAAGGGGTGTTGTGGGTGAGGTTGGAAGGCACCAGTGGCAAAGAAGGCATTCTCCTCAGGAGGATAAACAGTGACAAGACCAATATAAGGGCCTTTCTGATTCATCTTCCTTATCACACTCAAACTTCTCAACCTCTGCCCTGGAAATGGAACCACCTGCACAACAAACAACATCAAACCCAACATCCTTAAAACCAGTGATGCCCTGCTTCCCTGCACCTGTTTTGCACCCATTTTTATTTGCTTAATTTTCTCTCCCTCCAATCTCCAACAACCTAAGCTCGATCTCAAGAAATGATGGTCTGTGTTGTTCAAGTGTCTGTTCGGAGCTGGCAGATTTATGGGAGCAAAAAGTGTAATTATTGATGGAATTTTTTATGATGAATTATATTCATATATATATATACCCAGCATGTGAAACATGAGACTAATATAATGTCTGCTTAGCTATTGTTTATTTGCAGAAGATTTCCTAAATCCTTCTCCATCTCCCCTAAATGACCTGTTTGGTTTGGTAGGTTGTAGTTGAAAACTACAGCTTAATTTTTATTTTTTATTTTTTGAAAACTACAGCTTAATTTATTCAAAGCATAACTCCATTATTTGATTAAATTTTGTAATTTCACCTATCAACTAGCTCAGTTCTCGCGTGATATTTGCACGGTACCATGGACGGAGCTAGTCTCGGGGCAGCTGGCCTCACTCCCCCCACCCCACCACTTTATATATATATGTATGTATATATATATATACATATATAGCATTAAATGTTATATAAAATTTATATTTATGTTAGATATATTATTTGTTTGAGTTGCTTAGTTGGTTGAACTCTAAACTTAATTTTAATAAATAGTATATGGTCATGGGTTCAAAACTCAATAACAACACTTGTTTATTTTATGTCTTTCATTCCTTTCCAAGATAAATTAAATGTTTTTTAGTCTACTTTTATGAATTATTTAATTAATGTGGTACACAAGTTTATATTATACTTCATATAAATTTATTCGAATTAATTTACTAGTTGATCTACTTCATTAGTCTACTTCATTGTATTCAAATTAATTTAGAAAAACTTAAAGTTGATCTAACTAAAAAAAATTAAAATTTAAAAGTATTTATGAATATAGTGTTATTCAAAAATTTTTATCTAATGGATTATGTTTCATATTTTGTCATAAATATTTTCACATTTTCACCCCACACAAGTATATTTTTGGCTCCGACTCTAACTATCATGTAATCTATAAAACATTCTATTGTAATTTATAAAGTATTTTGTATTTTAACCTTATTATGCCGATTTGATATTTTGTAATTGACATTTCTATCGCCATTTAAATTTCGCCCCCACTCAATTAATTTTCTGGCTCCGTCCCTGCACGGTACTACTTTGTGATTGTATGTATATGAGTATATAGAATAGATAAGTAAAAGGGAGATGAAGAACACAATGTATAGAACACAATTTCATAAGACTATCTTTTCATTAAGCCTTCACCCTCAATTTATAGGGACCATTACAATCTTTCACATACTCATCATAATTCATGTAATAAGTAAAGGCTAAGGAAATGTCTCAAGTTTAATGGCCATAATAATAACATATTTATAACACTCCCCCTTGGCCATTAAATAACTATACTCATGCCTCGTTAAAAACCTCGCTAGAAAACTCAGTGGAAAAAATCTAGACGAGGAAAAGAGTACACGAAGTATGTCAAACCATGTGTTGCACCGGTTGCCTCATTAAAAACTTTAGCCTAAGAAAACCCAGTGGGGAAAAACTTAGCTAAGGAAAAGAGTACAACCATAAGCCTTCCGGGCATAATCTTCAAGATTTCAAGGGTCTTCAGGACTATCCACTCAAGTGCACCAACATCGGTTGTCTCATTAAAAACCTTAGCCTAAGAAAACCCTGTAGGGAAAAACTTAGCTAAGGAAAAAGAGTACAACCATATGCTTTCGGAGCATAATCTTCAGGATTTCAAAAGCCTTCTATATTGTCCATTCTAGTGCAGTTAGGGGTTGTCGCACCCCCTGAAGATAACAATCTTCTAAGTCCACGCATCCCAATTTTATGAACATATTACTCAAAGGTGGATGTAGGCAGAAATTTAGTGAGCATATCTACAAGAGGATTTGCTTCGACTGTCTTGAGTTGTTTCAGAGGATTTTGCAGACGCCGACGCAGCAGATGCCGACGCAGTCGCAGAAGCTTTCGGATCTGGAGTTGCTTCTCCCGTCGATGTGGTCTCGAGTTCATCTGTAGCAGGTGTAGTTGGAGTTGCCGCAGCAGGAATTGCATCGTTGGTGAGTACATAATCAACTTCGTGTGTCTCGAAGTGCACCAGCATCTTCACTGCCCACCTGCGGTAATTGATACCGTTCAGTGGTTCAATTTTTGTAAGTTCAGCAGCGGGCTTGGATAGGAGGGACGACATTTTCATGATTAAGCTTTTAACTGTTGGATATTTAGAAAAATGTCGTAGAGATGTGTGGATACTACGTTTTTTATAGGCTGTATAGAATTATAGGAATATTCTGTGACGTGTACAGGACACTGCCTTAAAAGCTTAATGCCGGAGACTGTGCGGTCTTTTTCCGGACGCTTTCGACTGGCTAACACAGAAGAGCTCACGTATTCTTTGCACTTTAGAGATACGTAGCAACTGAGCGTTTAAGCTTATTTTTCCAGTGTAATTCGAGAGGTCTGGGAAGACAGGTATTTATAGTAGTGAGAATACCTGACTTCCCAGTATCAGCCACAATCAACCGAAAAAATAGACGGAAAAACGCAAAGAGAGGAACGCTAATCGCGTTCGTAATCGCCCACTAACGCGCACAAATCTCTCTGACTTTATTATTAGTGCGTAGACTAAGAATAATTCTGTGGAGTAGCGAAAAAGTAGGACAAAATATAATTGCCGCGTAAAACTTCGACGCGCGTGCGAACCGAACCGAGCGGGCGGGCGGCGGCGGCGGCGTGCGCGGGGACTTCTCCTTTCCCTCCCTTGAAAAGATTTCAAAGACTCCAAAAGGAGTGGCATTTAAATGATGGGAAAGTAGTCCCTAAGAAACCAATGTGGGACAAGTAGCAAGGCAAAAACTCCAAAACTCCAACATCCTTGAATGTATTCTCCAACAGATTGTTCACTAGGGAAAACTTTCTCAACAATAATTTTACCACTCTTCTGGACTTCATGTGTGTAGAAGGACTTAAGTGCAATATGTTTTATAAGGTTCCCCTTAACAAACCTATTACTTGCTTGTACAACACAATCTTATTTGTCCTCATATGGGACATTGGGAGGGTAAAACATAACATAACCAGTTTGGGACTTGGCATCATAGGGATCAAATAAAAGAGCCAATACCCAAGTAGCCCATCAAAACCACATATTGGTTTCTCACATAAACGTCAAAATCTTTGTACCTCGAAAATGCTAGAGGATATGTTAAACATAATTCCAATATTTCATTGTAGAGGGAGCATAAACGTTGCTAGCAATTTCATCGCAAATTCAATATCAGGCCTGATGTGACTATAGAACTTCTAGTTCTATAATAGTGCTACAATAACAATGAAGTAATGGACTTCCAGTCCCTAAATATCCTCATCATCATCTTCGAGTCTAAATGATCCTTTATCTACTTCAAGAGATTATTGGACAATTGTTTGTGTGATAAGTAAATAATACCTATCCATATAAAACATCTTCAAGACATTTTTCAAGTTGTCTAACTGGTGTATAAAACTTTTCAAGGAGAAACTCGATCTTCGGGTTGAGACAATACTTGGATTTCCAAGTCTTTTATTTCAAAACTCTATCTTTCTGCATGAGCTGATATCACCAAGTTCTCTATGTGTTCAATGATATTTAAACCATCAATATTGACTGAGATGATAAATAAATAACTCCATTAGCAATTCGTTAACGAACACATAATAGTACATATTATTTGCATATTCCTTCTTCGGGAGGAAAATACTCAGTCAATAATATTCAAGTCATACAAAGACTTTAGTAGTTTAATGATACACGTTGCAATTTTCACTTTTCTCATTTCGAAAGTGTTGAATCCATCGGGGATTTACAAATAAATATTAGCATCTAATGACCCATAAGTTTGTGGTCATGACGTTCATCAACTGCATATCTAAATTTTTAATTCACTGTCAATGATGTTAATTAACGGAACGTAATGCCATATGTTGTGGGAGAGAATATTTGATCAAAATCAATTTAGGGTCTCTGCATAAACTCGTAAGCTACCAGTCTCACTTTATATCATACTACCATATTGTTTGTATTTCTCTATTGTGCAAACGCCCATTTGTAACCTTCATGGTTAACATTAAACGGTGTACATGTTATAAAGAGAATACAGTTTTAGCGAGCTGAGCTGTATATGCCTCAATTGCTCATTTATACATTAAAAAAAAAAAAAATTTAGGGCACTACTGGTGCCTATCTCTAGATCCAGAATATATCATATAACAAGAGCAATTTGTAAAGGCAATTTTGTTGTCGACAACTATAACATTTTTCACAAATTTCTCTTGTATATATAAAATTCATGGCAATTTCTAATTCAACCAAACTCTAGCCATTTCCCAATGATATTTTTATTTGGTCGTTCCGCATCCCTAGTATTATGATTTTGGGTGCACCAATAATTTTACTGGGATTTTTTGCCTTCTAAACGAATGACTTCAGGACATACTTCTTTAAGTGATTTCAAGAGTGATGAAATTTTCTACTAGATTTAGCTTTCCGCGGATTCTTGTCTTTTACACCAAATGTCTCCACACTTCTGGCATCAAGGAGCATAGGTAAATACATATGGTCCAAGTTGGGAAAGATATATGGGACCTAGTCACTATTTTTATCAGTATATATATTGGCAGATTAATTATCTTCTGAACTTCCAATTCAGTTTACTTCTTATGAACTTCTAGTTCAGTCTACCTAGTACGTGGATTTAAATATTGAAGATCAATCATCAATAGAATTTCTCGGCATTCTATTAAATTTGAGATCTTATCTCCCCCTAATGCCGTGGAATGATCTTAACAAAGTGTGTAGTCAGCGTACCTATTTTTATATTGATCCCTTATCATGGGCTCTGACAAACACATTTTTGTTTACAATTCTCATTTTAGATAGCGTCGTCAAAAGATTCGATGATGCATGGTCGTGTATGGAAAGAGATAAAAAGAGTTAAAATGGGGAGTGAGAACCACCCCGAGTGTGGTACTCAAGGATGGCAAGTTGGAGTAAAAAGAGTGCAAGACAATCACGTATCACAGTGCATTAACGAGAGATACACTAGGCGCAAGAAGTGTAGGTTGTAATTGGGTTCAAGAGAGTGTAAGGGCAAGGCATAGCAAAGGAAGTAAGAAAAGAAATA